AAAATTTAAAAATGATTTCATTTTAATGTTTAAACACTGTAATTACACTAATAATTACAACTGAATCATATAGTACAAGGCTCTATTGAAATAACAAAAAACTATATATTGTTATTGAATAACTTATTTTACAATTTCTTATCAGTATCATAGAAGATTAAAGATGAATACAACAATGACTTACTGTCCTCCAAATATAACTTTCACCGATATTTGGGTGAACCATGGAATGTCTAAGTGTTTCATGGATACTATTTGTATTACTGTTATTTCTTCATATTTATTAATTTTTGGTACAATTCAACTTTGGATGTATCATAAGTATGGAACAAGAAGTACTGCAGTTTTGATGCCTAAAAGTAAATTGTATATTGTACAAAAAATCTTCCTTTACTTTGTTCCAATACTTAGTGTAATAAGAATAATTCTACAAGGGACAGTTTTTGATGATAAGAAAATTTATGGTTACATGGTAAAAATTTCATATTATACAGTACATATAGTAATATTTTTTAATTTTGGTATTCAAGTTATTTTAATATTTTCAGATTCTTACAACAGTATTAACAGTAATTGTTTATCCATATTCTGCATACATAATAAAAGTAGAAAGGCATAAATTATTACCAAGTGTGCCACCACAGGGACATGGAATGGTATTATTAGGTTTCTGGACTATGGCATTAATTGCAGAAAATCTTGCTTTTGTTAACATTGCAAACTTTGAATGGTGGTTTCATTTAAACACGTAAGCTTAAAATCAATATCTTTTTTGCATAAAGAAGAATTTATTTCTGTTTGCAGTATTTAGTACTCATGTGTATGTGTGCTATTTACAGATTAACAGATCAGATTGAGATGGCACTGTTCATTCTACGTTATGTCAGTAACCTTAGCATTTTTGCTCTAGGACTCAAAGCTCCAGGAATAACTGGCAATACTGACTCAGAGTACCATACTCTCAACAGTGGTCCACGGCCAAGATATTATCAAGATGTAAGCCATGAAAGTATTATTATATAACATAATTTCAATCATTTTTAATTAAGATAGATCTTATAGTCATTGTTGCATGTAGACTAAATGTTCAAAACA